GACTCTCTCAGTTCATCATTTCCCCAGCCTCTGGGCATGGTGTGGCAGGAGTCCTGAGGCAGAGCTCTCTGAAAAGTGGAACTCTGGGCCCTGGGTTCAGTTGCCTGTATCAGCCTCCAGGACCAAGGTCTCCTCTTTGAAGTCCACCATGAGGGTACCCTGTCCTTCCCTTGGGGCCAAGTGGAGTACACCCACTGGGGGCAACTGGAACAGCTTTGCTCATGGCCCGGGTATGTCGTTCATCCATCACTAAATGTGCTCTTTCACTCAGCACTCTGGCCCTGATAATCTAAGATGTGCCAGGCACTGTGCTGGGCACACAAGTGGTGCATTGAGTTCAGGGCCTGGCACATAGGCCCTGGTAAATACAAACCCCTGCCATCCCAACAAGCTAGGGCAGCCTGGGAGCCAGCCAGCTCTAGATGCTTCCTCCCTCTGCTTTTCACTGAGGGTAGCTGGTGAGAAGGAATTCATTAAGTCAGCAGGACGTGATCCATCCCTGCCTGGCCTTCCTCAGGGCTGGCTCCCTGGGAAGCTCCCCTACCAGGCATTTCTCTGGAGCCTTTGTCCCCAGAGGTCTGCAAGGGGCCTAGGGAGAATGGAATCTTGCACCCTTCCCTTGGAAAAGCCATTTCTCCATTGAAATGCAATTTACTTCTGAAAAGAAGAAAAAGACAAGAAAGGCCACTGGGGTGAGAGTGTTTCTGGAACCTACAAGGCAGCTCCAAGGTAAATTGCCTGCATGGAGGTAAAGTCTTGGAGAGATATAGGGCTGGTTGGGTGTGCACTTTGCCCTGGACCCCCTTACCCGTGATGCTAAATGCTGTTGTGGCCAACAATGAAAACCAGAAATTATTTTTATTCTTTCACATGCTGAAACAGAAAACCAATGCAGGAAAACCCTGAACCGACAACCTGCTATATAGTGTAGTTCAAAGAGAATAAAATTAAAAAAAACAAAGAAAGAAATTTCTAGAGAGGATGCTTTGTGTGTTCCAGCGGCCATGACGTGTGTAAGCAAGCTGCCTCTCGCCATGGCACACGTGTACAGGAGGTCTTGATGGTACAAGTGCAGCCCAGGCACCATGGAAAGGCCCAGCATGGGAATGTGCTGGTGTGTGTGTGTGTGCGTGTGTGGGTGCATATGTTCCTATCAACACATATACACATTTATCAAATTACATCTGCTTTTACCTTTAAAATTTTATGAACGTGAGCATATGGCGCATTATCCTGCCATAGAGTGTGTGTGTGTACGCGCGCCTGTGTGTGTATGCACAAGCAAGTCTGTGTGGCACACACTCCCCAGCACACACAGGCCTGTGACAGAGAAACTCTGTGGAGATGGGAGCCTGGGAGTGTGTGGCTGTGGGTGAGATGATGTCCCCAGGGCCCCAGCCTGGCCATTGGCCCACCAGGCCATGAATGCATTTCCATCCATCTCCAGGCCCCTTCATCTAAGCAGCTAATTCCTTTGAGCCCTTCTGCCTTATTAAAGTCACAGATCACTTTCCTGAGCTTCATGCTGTCAAGACCAGCCAGCCCGAGTTCAAACCCCCTCCTGCCAGCCAGCCTCTCCTTGAGGGCAGGGGGTGGAGGTGAGGGCCCCTGCAGCCCCTCCTCGGTTTGATCTGCACGCCTCCTTGCAGTGATCAGTGAGGTCGCCTCAGATTCCTTCAGTAAAGCCCTTGGCAGGGATACAAGGGCCGTCACAGCTGTTCTGCACAAACCCGCTTCCAAAGGCAAGGACTGGGCCGGCCCACTCGAAGCGGCTCCTCAGTGGAGGGGTGCAAGGCTGGCTGCGGATTTGGAGAACACTTCTCCCGTCCCTGGCTGCCGCGGCCTCCCCTGTTATGAAATATGGATGGTACCGGTTCCAGCGTTCGGAGACTCGCTGGCAGCGCCGAGCGTCTCCAAAGGCCCGCCTTGTGCATGCACCTAAACACTTCACTGAGCAATCTGTCAACATGTCAGCAACACATGTTTTGTAAAAAGCTTCCAGTGGGAGTAATGACTCCCACCAGGACTTCCAAAATGCTTTGAATTCAGCAGATTTCTATTGCGGGCATCCCCTGGGGTGCCTTTTACAATGCCTACATTTCAGAAATTTGAGCCACAGACCCCTGGGGGTTTCCTTTCATAATGCCTCAAAATGTAGGGTTATATTGTTGGAAGTCCCCATGGGGTCTTTATTAATACCTGAATTCTGAGGAACTGGAAATTACACAGGGCACTGCAGGGGCCCAGATCCACACCAGGAAGAAGAGAAAAACTCTGTGGGGAGATTTTTTTTCTTCATGCAAGAGTGAAAGAGAAGAATTTGCTAAAGGACAAAATTGAGTGTGTTTGAGCTTCCTTCATTTAATCTGCCTTCTAGAACGCTACAGTAAAATCTGCAACGGGGAAGGGGGGAAATGACTTTTCTATTTTTAAATCTCACTTTGATATTTTAGGGGCCAGAGTATGTTCTCTTTTAACACCCAGTGTCGAGAGGTATTGTCTAAAAAATAAATTATTTTTCTTTTTGGTAATTGAAAACACCTTGGCCGCGCCCCTCTTCGGGGTCTCTGCTCTTCCTTAGAGCTGTTAAACTCCTGTAGTGCGCTCCTGTCTCATTATCATTAACCGTTTGGGGTCGGTGTGAGATATTGGCCCTGTGCTCCCCTCCCCTCCCCACCCCTCCTTCTCCTCCCCTCTGTGCATTAAAGATGAGAAAATCAACCTTGGAGATGGTCCAATTGCCCATGTGAACTGGTTTCAAACCATCTCAGCCAGTTGTGGCCATCAGAATAGGAGACAGCAAGGCTGCTGCTACTTCTTTTTGCTGTTGGAGTCTTGAGCGGGCAGAGGGATGTTTTCTTGCCCCCACCCCATGCATGCTTGGACACACATGCAGACACACATATGCACAGTCTCTCTCTCACACACACACACACACACACACACACAAAGCCATGCACATACACGCACATCAATTTTGTTTGTAACTTGTTCCAGCCTCCACCTTGTATACATTCACTTCCAGTGTTGTTTTAAAAAAAGTTACAAAGCTTAAACATGTTAAGCCCTGGGTTAATTTAAGCTGCCTTTTCCCTTCTAAATCTGGCGCTGACTAGCTTGCTGAAAAGAAGTCTCTTGCTCTCTCTATTTCTATTACAGTTTCATTGACTGGGGCGAGAAAATAACATTGAGGACTTACTTGTAGCTGGCAAGGCCAAGAAATTCTAAGTTGCTGATAAGACCCTCCTCTGCCTCCTTGCTCTCCCCCTCCCTGCTTTCTGCCAGAGTGACTGGATCACACAGGGGACTCGGGAACTCACATCCCCCCCCCCCCAGTGAGACTCCCAGACGGTGCTCAACCATCTGTGGTCCCCTGGGCCCAGCTGAGGGGGCCCAAGGAGGGGGGCCTGCCCATCAGGAGCCGGTTGGGTCAGACACTCTCAGAGATCCTCTGTACCCACCCCGAGCAGGCTGATTAATTAAGCAATTGCAGCATTGATTCAACTTTTGTGATTTGGTGCCAGGGTGCTGGCTGCTGAGTTCCTGAGCTTGGCCTCCTTCCCCTGGGTTTTCTTTGCAGGATTCTGATCTCTCTGTTTTGCAGTTGGATATTCCTGCTCCTTCTTCGTGCCAATACTGGACCCTCCACCCCCAGCAGAACTGGCCCCTGGGTCCCCTGCAGGCACCCACCCGAGCCAGGAAGTCTTGGGGGCTCCTGGAGTGTCTGCATGGGGAGGGGCTGTGGGCCTGAGCAGACCCCGGGAGGGGCCTTTTCTCCTCCCAGCAGGCCCCCTGGGCCTCAGCAAGGGCTGGGAGACTGAGAGGGCCAGGAGCCCTGAGGTACTGATGTGACATTTTTAGCCAAAGACATTTGTTCAGATCAATTTCCAAGTAGCTTTGGGTTGGAGTGCATTCTCCTTTTTTTCTTTTTCTTTCTTTTAAAGACCCTGAGCCTATTTTTCCTTTTCCTTTCAAAGAGATGGAATAGTCTGACCCTGGGAATCCCATTCTTGGCATCTCTTCCCTAAGCCACCATCTCCTGGCTGACCAAGAAGCCTAAATGTCCCACTGGTGCTGGGTCTCAGACCATCTCTGGGTCCTCTCAGGGCTCACTGGGAGGCCCATGTCCCAGCCTGGGGGCTGGCCTGGGAAGTGCTGCAGGCTGAGGGTCACTATCTCCCTGCTCTTGTCCCTCTCAGAGATGTGGGCGGTCAGTTGGGGTAAGGGAGGAAGAGATTTTCCCACAGCCTCTGACCTGGAGGTCAGCAGGTGGGCAGGGGTTCCAGCAAGAAAATATAACCCACTTTCCAAGAGCACAGATTTTCCCCAAACAAGGCCCAAACCATGTAGCAAGGAGCCTCATAGAACCTCTAAAAATTTCATTAAATGGGGGTGGCATTCCAAGAGATACCCTCTCAAGTAAACCAAACACAAAAACATTAAAAACAACTAGAAGCCAGACAATAAAAATTCCTTCTCCTGTGTGCCTCCAAATAAACAATGAAGCCACTACCTTTGGGAAAAGAGAGAATTAGAAACTTAGATTCTTCAGAAACCCATCCTGTGTGCCAAACTAGATGGCGCACCTCCTTCCAGCATTGCAATCCTTGTGGCTCTGGAGAAGGTGGTGGGTGGGGAGTGGAGCCCTTGAGCCCCAAACAGATGTCCAGTGAGCGGAGGCCAAAAAACCTCCCGGAGTAGTGATTTATTTTATTTTTTAGATCTATATGTTTTGGCCACATTTATTTATTTATTTCCAAAGGGCTATTTTTGGTGGCTGCCTGGGCTCCTTTGTAGCAAAGCCCCCTTTTCTAGAATTTCCTTTCCTTTATTAGAGTTACAGCTCAGCTTTGTGCGGCCCCCTGGGGGAGCAGGCCAGCCGCTGGCAATTTCTCTCAGACACCCAATTACCCCCTGACGTCAGTGCGCCTCGCCCTGCTCCCCTGGGTGCCTGCATTTTTTCCTTTGTAACACTAATAGCTGGCTAGCTAAGTGCCTGTCGGCTCCTTGGCAGAGGAGTTGATTGTGTTTTCGGCTGGATACTAAATCCAAAAACTATGTAAAAATGTCAATAGGTGAGTGCACATTGATTTTGGTTAGTCACAGTGATATTTGAGCCCCTTTGGGGACTCTGTCTGGGGAAGTATTTTACAAGAAAGATAATATAACAGAAAATTACTGGAGCTCCGCGGGTCTCTGGTGGGTTTCTTAGGGGCCTGCTAAATTGCTGTAGAATCAACAAATGCTTTATTAATCTAAATTTGTGGTTTTGTTCTTTCTTTTCTTCAGAAGGTTGGAGTTTTAATGATGCAGGCGGCTCCGGGGGCCAGGCTGGGCAGCATGGCCTGCACCTTGGCTGACGGGCTGGGGGACCCTGGCTGGTAATGAAATCTCGGAGGGCCTGGGAGCAGGGCGGCTGTGCTCCCAGCCGGCTTCCTGGGGGAGGTGGAACAGGCTCAGGGCTCGCTGCTTGCCAGGCCGAGGTCTGTGCTAGCAGATAAAGTGAGGGGCTGGGGGCCTGGAACAGCTGTGCCGGCCAGGCTGACTGGGGGAGGCTGATAAGAGCCCAGAAGGAGCCCAGGCGGGTATCATGGCAGCGCCAGAAATCTGACGGGGTATCACGACTGGCAAAGAAAGTTGAACAGGGCCGGATCCGGGGGATGGTTGGCAGACCTGCGGAGAGAGATAATGGTAATTGATGGAATCAAAGTCGCAGCACAGCCTTGTGTTTTCTTGGCAATTAATTCCCCCTCCCCCTAATTTCTAACTCCCTGGCATTCTTTGAGCCCAGGATGCCCCATGAGTAGTCTGCACGCTCAGATAATCAGCACATGCCCTCCTTGTTTTGGGGGGCGGGAGGGAGGGAGATTCATGTGGCCAAGAAAAGACACAATTAGAGACCCAGATTAAAAAAAAATATATTACAAACAAACAAGTTGCAGAAGAAAACCCCACTGAAAAGTTAAGGATGTGTCACTCCGGGAGCTCATCTGATCTTGCTCTGGAAGGGAAGGAGGAAAATCGATGTCTTTGTAAGAGTACAGGCTGCACATCTCCTAGCTGGGCAGGACAATGTGGAGCCAGGCCAGCCCCAGTGCGTGCCTGTGCACGCGCACACACACATGCGTGCCCCCCAAAGATGCTGTGGGGGAAACAGCATAATGGGACGGCAGTTGATACCGGATACAGATGTGCCTGCTTCTCCTGTGCATGTCTCCTGTCCCCCTCTACCTTTTGTCCCTTGAAAGGCATCCCTTCTCCACAATGGGCTAGGCAGGCTGTTTCCCACCGCCACAGGCTCACACCGCCTGCCTGCTCTGTGGGTAAGGCTTTCTGCTGGCTTTTTGTTGTGTCCCTGACAACGTGCACACGCTGGGACACACCTGCTCAAAACACGCGTGACCGCACAACTCTGGCACTCGCGCCCAGTCCACTGCTTGGCCCTGGCTTTCTGCTTCCTAAGCGCATCCCACCATCCCCCAGGGAGTCCCCATGTCGGCTCTAGGACTTTAGGCAAATAAAACACTCCAAAAAATTTCCCTGGAGTCTTTTGAAATTAAAATTGGTGCACAGTAAACCTGCGTGTCACTCCAATGTGCAAGGCACAGGCCCTTGAATAACTGGAAATTGTATAAAGGAAGCAGTCAGGAGCAGCCTTTTACCTCATGCTCACCCTCTGCTCCAGGGTCCTCCAGGTAGGTAATTATTGTTGGAGAAAGAGCCAACTATTGGCAGGTGATACCGTGAGCCACTGGGGGCTTTAAAAAAAAAAATCACACCCTTGTCCCCTTTCCACATTCTCTGCTTTTTGCTTATTTCTTGGAGCTGCCTTGCTCCCAGCCATCTTTTGGTTGGGTGACATCAGTTCTTTCCTCAGAACCCCGGTGACAGAGGAACCCAGTGGGGAGGGATTGAGGTGCTTCTGATTTTATTCTGGCCTTTTGTCTATTGCAGCCCACCTCAGGAAGGACTGAAATTAGTCTTGCTTGGAGGCAGGGTCCTGATCACAAGCAACTCTGGAAGGTCAGAAAAAGGTGTGTGCCAGCCTCCTACCCCAAGACAGAGGACATTCCTCAGCTAGCCCTTGGGTGACACCCCCCTCACCCCCAACTTTGTCTACTCAACAGGATAGGAGGAAGGAGGGTCTGGAAAGCAGGTTCTGCTGGTGACTTCTGAGCCATCAGAGCCAGGCCAGCCGCCTCCCGGCCCCTCAGCCTCAGAGCTCTGCAGGCTTGCAGATGTTTTGGGGCCTAGAGAGCAGAGAGGGGGCTGGTCCTTTGTCCCATGGAGGAGGCCTCCCCGAGGCCCAGGCCTGCATGGTGGACAGCCACATTAACCTTCCACCCTGGGTGGGTGAGGGGGGCTTGCCTGAGGTCAGGCATATAATGAGGCCAGGTCCCTGGCTATCTCCTGCCCAAGCTCCAGCAACAAAGGCCTAGTCAGGCTGCACAATGAGGGGGAGGTGGCTGGTGGGGGCGGGTAGGTGAGGCCACAGCCTCCTCTGTGGTCCAGAGTTTCCTTCCAGTCCACCCCATGCTGGGCACTTCAAAGGGCAAGAGGAGAGGCCAGGGGCCTGGAACTTTTTCTCCTAAAGCCACCGGAGGTGGAAAAACACCTTGAGAACCTGTGGAGTCAGGTTTTTGGAATCTGGCACCATGGGGAGTCCCTGGCATGGGGTCTTTCTCTGATAGTCCTGTCTCACTCTTTGTTTGGAGTTTGTGCTTGGAATGGCCCAATTACTTAAACCAGAGAGCCCAGCCTTTCAACAATAATGATGCTAATACTAATAATAAAATGTCTTGTGTCTGGAGACACAGTGTGCTGCTGAGTTTGGAGCATAATCTCATGTGTATTTCAGTGACTTCTCCCTATTTAGTGAGGCTGGCGAGTAGGTATGAGGACACCTGTTTTTTCCAGTGACAGGAAAGGAGGCAAGAGTCATTTCTCCCCATTACCTCCTTGAGTTTCCACTGTGATGGTGAGACTTGGGCATTTGGTTCCCACTTTACAGATGGATCCACTGGGATTCAGAGAAGATAGACCTGCCTGAGGTCATACACCTGGCTCGCATGTGCCTACCTTTGACTCTTGTTAATTAATGGAAGATCTCTGTGTCTCCATTTCCTCATCTGTAAAATGGGGATAACAGTAGTTCCACCGCACAGGGCTGCTGGAGCATGCTTGGAAACGACTTGTGTAAGGGCTTGCTGTTTGCTTGGCATACAGTAAATGTCCAATAAGTAGCAGTTCTCTTTCTTGTAGTAAAATTCTCCAGTCTGGGATCCAGGCTCCAGGACCAGTTTGTCTTTTGCCTTATGAGCAAATAAAATAAAAATCTGTACTTTTGCTGAGGGATCATTCATCTGACCTGCCGGGTGTATATCTGCGGAAGGGAGGAGGCTTGGGGGGGAAGGGACCTGCTCCAATCACAGGGAGAGTGGGATGTTAGGATGGGAGTCAGAGGCTGACACAGAGGGCCTCTGTGTCCTGTCTTCAGGTAGAGGAATGTGTAGGTATTCAGCGATTCTCCCTCATGTCACTTACTTGCACAGGTACTTTTCTTGACAGGCAACCAGATTGTACTTGGTACCTTGGAAATGTTCACCAGTATTTCCCAAGATCCCCTTAACTCTTCCCCAGGAAGCTGTTAGGAGTAGCCTAAATTTGGCTGCCTTGTCCCCTTTACCTATCACTATGCCAGAGGGCACCGACCTGGGCCAGAAGGCATCAGAATCCTTCCTGGGTAGAGGAGGGCAGGGCTTCTTTTCCTGTCCACAGAGCCCAGCGCAGGTCCTATGGTGGCTGCCTGCTGCAGGGGAAGAGGGCATAAAGCCCTAGACCATTGGGAGTCCAAGCAATGCAGAGAGGGAAAGAGAAGCTGCCCACGGGGCAGCTGGTACCTGGGCCACGTTGTTTCTGAGCCCTGCTTGCAAATGGGCAGAGACTGGATGTTTTTGCCATGCAGCTAGAAAGTGTCCAGAAGCTTTGAGAAGTGGCTGGAGGCACTAAAACATGTGTGGGGTTAGAAATTTAATGCATCCAGCCCAGCTGAACAGGCCCCTAGCCATTGGGGGAATTCAGTGGACCTCCAAAATCATTTGGTACAATGAAGACTTTGTACTGTTCATTCACTCTTCCACACATGTATCATTTTTGGGCAGTAGGGGTTAGGGAGGTACTGTTTATTAAGCACTGGGCTTGGTGCTTGGTGATACCAAGCTGAATAACAGCCTTGGCCTCCAGGAGTTTAGTTTTCCTTCTTCCTCACCTCCCTCCTTTGTTCTCTTCCTCATTCCCTCTTTTCCATTCAGCCAATGAATGGATGAAGCATCTTGATGCCCTGTGCTGATAATAGAGGTCCACAGAAATGAGCAGGGCATGGGATGAACAATGTTAGATAGAGACTGAGGAGAAATATCATGAACACTGGCATTGGGGGTTTCATGAGACTTGGCCTTGGCCTTGACACCAACTGACTGTATGAACTGGACTCAGTCATTAACCTGCTCACAGCCCTCAAGGATGAGGGTGTTGAATGGTATGGCTGCTCTGGTCTTTCGTCTTTCATTGCAAGGAATAGAGCTGTATCTCCAACTGGCTTAAGAATAAACCTCAGGCCTGGCTGGATCCTGGGAATTCATCTCTCTTGTGCTCTCGTTGCTCCATTTTTCTTTGTTGACTTCACTCTGCCAGGTCTTTTCTAAAGGAGGGCAAGTTAGTCCTCCTGCCCCCAGCAGCTCTTGGCTCATATCCTCCTTGCTCAGGTAGAGCATCTCTTTCTTACAATCTCAGGAGGTCTCAGGATTCACTCTCATGGGCTTGATTGGTCCTGTGTCCACCTGTAAGCCAATGTCTGTGCTTGAGAATGCAGTGCTATCTGGCTGGGCACAGGTCTCAAATCACACAGGAGAAGAATGTTTGCTCAGGAAGACAGAGTGCACCACAGAAGGCAGGGCTGGGTGCTGAGGAGGTCTAGAAGCTTGAAGCATTCTGCTGCAGTCATCACTATGAAGACTTAAAACTTTGTTCATGCAGGAGACAGGCTGGAACCTCACTGGCTGTGTTCTAATCCTGGTTATGGCTCTTGCTGGACAAGTTCTTTAACTCTCCATGTCTCCATATGCTCATCTGTAAAATTAAACTAACAGTAGTATATACCTCATAGGGTTGTGAGAATGAAATGCCTCATCCATGTAAAGTGCTCAGCATTGCTTGGCACCTGTAAACACTTAAATATTAACTATTATTATTTTCATTCCTTCACTCACTTTCATGAACTCTTACCCAATCAGAGCAGCAAGTAAATTAATCATACAGTCTACCTTTGCAGAACTTAGGGGGATCTTACGATTATTTTTTACTCATTTGTTTAAGAAATATTTTTAAGCGCCTATTGTGTGTCAAGTGCAGCACTAGGCTAAGCTGGGCACAGGAATGAAGGAACAGCCCTGCTTTCATGGAGGTTGCAAGGTATCCTCACTAATTCTTAGCTTCTCATCTGAACAGTATGGAGGATGGTTTCTTCTGTAGATAGACTGCTATAGAGAACAGGTGTGGAAAGTATGTCACAAGTCCAACAGTGGCTCTTTATCTGGCATGTCATCAGTGGGTAGACATCAGTGGTCCACCCAGGAGTTTATCCCCATTGCTTCCTGCATCCTTTCCTAAGGCCTCCTTCACTGTGGCTGGTCCACCTGGGCTTCTGTGCTGCCAGCAAGACGGATGAGGTGGTCACAGGGCCCCTCTGTGGTCTATCGAGGGATGAGTTCACACTTGGATTCAGGTGTTGGTCCCTGGTGAGAGCCATGCCAAACCCTCACCTCACTGCAGCTTGGGGCTGAGCATCCTGTAGGGCTCCATGGGGGGTGGGTTTGGCTGCTGTATGCACTGAGATGTATGCTGGGATTCTGCCAGAGAGCCCACAGGGAAGAAGGCCCCACTGTTTTCTCCATCTGAGCCCACAAGAAGGGTCCTCACCTGTCATGCACTGTGCATAAGAAACAGGGCTGTGGAGAGCAGCTCTCAGCCCTCAGCACCAGGATCAGGCCAAGCAGTGGCCCTGTCCCCAGGCCTCTTGTCACCACCCTGCTGGGTACTGGCAGGACTTGTGCTGACCACCCTGCTGCCGAGCCCTTCTCACATGCCCCATCTTTTAAAACTTTTTAATCTCAGAGATACACTTATTTACTGTGCCACAGTGGACGGTACTCACTTACAGGCATGTGTGCCCAAGTACAGCTGGCGGGAGGGTGAGGACCATGAGCAGGTGCAGGCTGTGAGCTGCTCAAAGCTTTACTTCTCTGTCACCACTCTTGATTTTATAAATGATGACGCTGATAATCCCATCCCTACCAAACCTCCTGGTGAACTTAGGTGCAGTAGGACTTCATGGACACCCAAATATTTGTAGTGATGCTTTGGGACATCTCCGTGCAGGACCCACAGCTCTTGCTGTTCCAGAGCCCCACAGCCAATGACTTGGTGACATGCCCCATCGTCATCCCACTCAGATATATTTTTTGGAAATTCTTTATTCTAACCTATGAAGAAACAAGCTGGGTGTGGTGGTGCAAGCCTGTAGTCCAGTTCCAGCCCTTGGGAGGTTGAGGCAGGAGGATTTTGAGTTTGAGACTAGCCTCGGATACATAATGAGATCCTGTCTCAAAAAATTAAAAAAGAAACTGAGATTCAGTAACTTGCTAAAGGTGGCTCAGAAACATGGCAGGGCTGAGAGGCAAATCCATGCCTCTTTCTCCCTAAAGCCAAGGTGCTTGGTCACTAAGTTACATTTTCCTACAAAGTGAACATTGGTATAGACTCAAGCATCTTCCTGAAGGTGGCTGATTTTCTGTCCACACATTAAAAATTTCAGACCAGAATTGCCAGGAGGGCAGGGCCTGAAAGACTAGGGAGGACTTTCATATGTACTCCTTATTTCTGGGTACACATCCCCAGCCTATCTTTGTGGACAAGCCCTCCTGGCAACCAGGGACCCAAAGGAAACAGCAGTGAGTCTGCTGCTGCTAAGAAGTGATCAAGGCCCGATCAGCACCCAGGCTGGAGCCATTGACTGCTGGGGGAGGTCACCTCTCCTGCCTCCATGGGCTCCCCAGAGCCCATGTCTGGTGAGAAGGGCTTCATTAAGTTTGCTTGCAGACTTCCTCCCTGTCCACTGCACTACGTCCGGGCCCACCGTCTCCTTGTTTGGAGATCTGAATCCTCCCGCCCTCCTGACGCTGAGTTCCCTGGTTGCCTCCTGGTGCTGCTGTCTCCGTCCCACATGAGGTAGGAGCCTTCCAACAGGGAGTGCATTGCTGCCTCTTCTGTAACCTCTCTGATCTGTACCTTTCCCCCAAATGTCTTGACTATTGTTATTATCAGTAGGGCTGAAGAATCTTTGGAGAAAGGATTGGGATCTCAAGCTTGTGTTCAAATTCTTTCTCAGCCCAAAGTCTGTGATCTTCAGCAGCTCCCTAGGAAATGGGGCCACTGAGGCCTCCCTTGTCTGGTGATGAGGCTTTAGCAGGGTAGTGAGTGTGAGGGGCTGCATAGCACTGCACACTGTGGTCACTGAAGGGTAGACTAGGAACAGGATGTGCCTGGGGGCCAGGTGGATGGGGAGGGAGGCTCAGCTGGGAGATTGTAGGACGGGTTGGTGGGATAGTTCAGGCCACAGTACCAGGGAAGACCCAGGAGAGGCACAGTCTTTGGTAGGGCTGGGCCGCTGCCCTGGGAGCTTTTGGAGACTTATGGAGTCCAGAAATGCATCTGGGGAAGAAAAGGAGGAATGGCCCTCTCAGGTGCTGCCACAGACCCATCACCCACCTGGACACCTCTGTTGGTGACCTGGTCTGTCGCTGCCCTTTGAGGAGATACATGGATACCAGCAGTGGCTCACCATGCCTTTGGGGCTGCAGGTGCTTGCAGCAATGCTGTAAGCCTCTTGTCCTGGACATGAGAACATACTGACCCTCTGTGGGCCTCAGGGCTGGGCTTTGGGTACTGCTGACAGTAGGAAAGCAGCATATCCTTGCCCAAGTCTGCTGTCATCCTAAACCATCACAGTGATGAGTAAACACAAGCAAACGCATAAATAAGAATGAATCCCTCTTAGTCCGCCTTCTGCTGCTGTAACAGAAGAGCACAAATTGGTTAATTTGTAAACAACAGAAGCTTATTTGACTCATAATTCTGGGAGCCAGGAAGGCCAAGTTCAAGGACCATGTCTGGTGAGGGCCTCCTTGCTGCATCTTGATCTGACGGAGAGCATCCCATGGGTCAGAACATACATGAG